TTTGTTTCTTGTTGTGCTGGTCGTATAACAGTATTTTTCTAAGGCGTTCGTTTGTTTTGTAATAAAAAATAACCTAAACGTGATTTATATACGTAAACAAATACGAATTATTATTATTATTATTATTTGTTTTAAAAAAATATTTTTCGTTAAATTTTGGCAAATTCAACGACCTTTTTTCGCGTTATAACATGTTTTTTTTATGTTACGGTTAATTAATTAAAAATCGTTTGAAAATGTTGTTTTTTTATTATTATTATTTAATAATAAAAAGCTTTTGATTTTTTTTTTAAATAATAAAAAGTATTTTTGGCATTTACCGTGTTTCTGTTTTTCTGTTTTTTTTAATGGCATTAAATCGTTTTTTGGTAAATTTCATCTTTAAAAAAAAAAAAATTTTTACGATTATTAGTTTAAAAAAAATTCGGTCTGAAAGTTTTATTTTTATATAGTAAAAAAAAAAAAAAAAAAACATTTAATGTTTCAACGTGTTAATATTTATTTTTTTTTTTTTTTAAAAGTAATTTTAAATTTGTTTGCATTTATATTCGCAACAAATAAATTATTATAAATAATAATAATAATGATAATAATGGGGACTTACTTCCGTTAAACTCGCGAAAAAAATAAAATAAAAAATTTTTTTATTAGTAAATAAAAAATTCCATTTTATTTTTTTCAATTTATTATTTACGTATTCGTAATAATAATAAAATAATTTATTTTTTATCAACGATAATTTATTTAAAAAACTCTCGTCGTGATAATATTTATTATTATTATTATTATTATTAATATTTTTTAATAAAAATAATATTTCGTTTGATATCGAACAAGGTATGTTTTGTTTTATTGTTATTGTTACTTCATTTTTATGTAAACAATCATTATTATCGTTATCCATTCTGAAAAAAAAAAGAAAAGAAATATATTTTAGGGGGGGCTTTATTGTAAACGTGTGAGAGAGAGAGAGAGAGAGAGAAAATAGTTTAATAATAAATAAATAAATAATATTTTTAAACAAACAATAAAACGAAAATAAAAAAAAAAAAAAACCATAAATAATAATTATGTATTTTTGCACACTTTAAAATAAAAAAATTTATTTACATGCGTCGTTAATAATAATAATAATAATAATAATAATACTTATTCATTATTCATTATGATTCAAAGACAAATAAAAAAAATAGACATAATAATGATAATTATTAAGAGACAGCAATGTTAAAAATTGGTTAATGAAAACAAAAACAAATCACACACGAATTATTAATTTATTTATTGATTTATTGATTTATTTACCTAAGAAAAAAAAGGTGAAATTTTAATAAAATAAAATAATATTAAACTATAAACGGAACTTTCTTTAAAAAATCAAAAAAAAGCAGAAGGAAAAAATTAAAAAAATTAAAAATCTGTGAATAGAAAAAAGTTTTTTTTTTATTTATAATTTTAAAAAAAGTAAATTTCTTTCGTTTGTTTTTCCTAAGAAACATTTAACATTAAACTATATTTAATAAGGGAAAACATTTTTTAATTAAAATTTTTAAAGACGTTTAATATAAGAAGATTTATGATTCGTTAAAAAAAACTCAATCGAAATAAGTTTTTTTATAAAAATTCTGCCTTTTTTTTTTTTTTTTGTAGGAGTTGAAAACTTTTTTAGAATTTCCACATTTAAACGCCTTCTTTTCGTTTTTTTTTTTTTTTTTTATTTATTTCACTCTCTACTTCCGCCATTGAAAATATTTATTCCTGTAATTTAAAATAACGTAACCGTTACGTTAATTATTATTATTATTATTATTATTATTAACAATTATAATAATTTAAATTTAATTATATAATACCGAATGATACATTCAAATATTTTATTATTGCTGTTTTTTTTTTTTTTATTGCTATCGTTTGAATTCAAGTCATAAAAATTTCATTATTATTATTATTATTCTAGAGTAAGAAATATAAATAATAATAATAATAATAATAATAGTAACCACCTTAAAATTAGTTTGAAAAATAAGATTTGAGTAAGAAAGTAGGAAAGAAAAAAAAAGGGAGCCGATGATGCGTGACAAAAGAAATAAATACAAAAGACTTGCCAACTAATGGGGGTTGCAATAGTAGTTGGTATTACCATCTGCTCTCATCCCCTAAATTTTTTCAATAAATACCACCTTTTATTACTTTTTTTTGTTATTAAAAAAAAAAAAACATGGAATTTTCTTCTTTATTGTGTGATTCTTATTAAAAACATTCCACGGTCTTAATCTATTGTGATTATGTTTTTATAAAAATATCCAAGCGGAAATGAAAAGGAAAAGGACGGGAGGGATCCAAAGGGTCCATAAAAATTTTCGATTTGTTATTGCTCCCTTTTCCCCCTCTCTCTCCTTCTCCCTTTTTTTTCAACGGGATTAAATGTTGTTAACGTTTTTGAAAATATTTTTAAATAAATATCGATTACTTTTAACTTGTTAAACATTTTTTTTTTATATATATAAACAGTTGAACGTTATAATAATAATAATAATAAATTATGACGTAATTTCATATGAAAAAATAAATTTTAATAAGAAAAAAAAAACTAAAAATTGTTGACTTTTTTATCATTTCGAAGAAGAAAAGAAAAGAAAAGAAAAACCCAAACAATTTTTTTTATTTATTTTAAAATAAAATTTTTGAATTGTTCTAGTCATTCATTCATTCATTCATTCATAAAATAATTAACAAAATTAGCAAAAATTGAAAGTCATGCTCATGATGATGATATGATGATGATGATGAAAAAGAAGTGAAAATAACAAAAAAAATTTTAATTACAAAATGAACGAAATTCTTTTTTTTTCTGGTTGGAGAAATTTTTTTTTTTTTTTTTTTTGGTAAGTACAAAAAAATTAACAAAAACTCGGTTGTTAATAAATAAAAATAACAAACAATTGTAATATTATGTATTCTGCATACAGAACAACAACAACGAACAACAACCGAGTATGTTTTAATCAGCAAAAAAAAAAAAAAAAATTTCGTAATAAATTTTTATAGGTAAGAGGTAAAGATTTGGGGATACCATGATTAGGAAAAATAAAAATTGACGTGTGTTACGAGCCTATGGCAAAAATAATAATAATAATAATAATGATAATTCAAAAAGTGATGCAAAACCTTATATGGATCAAAAAGGTAAAAAAAAAAAAATTATGTAATTAATTAATAAATAAATAAATAAAATATTTTCGGGTACTCCTTTTTATTAATTTTCTACATAAATCATTATCGACATTTTTATTTCATAATTTTTTTTTTTTTTTTTTTTTTTTCATTTGGGTTTCTTTAAATAAAAAAATTTTTCTAATAACCTATGATATTTATTATTATTATTATCATTATTTTTTTTAAAATAAAATTCATTACATAAATAATTTTATTTATTTATTTATATTTTCTTGGATTTAAACCCCAGCCAAACAAATTATATACTCTCAATATAATTTATAAATTCTTTACGTCCGTATATAAAAAAAAAATTTTTTTAAATTATTATCATTATCATTATTATTATTATTATTATTAGGTGTTAAAAAAATTTTTTCTTATTCATTCAACCGTTTCAATTTTATACCTCGAAGAATTTAAAAAAAAAAAAAAAAAAAAAAAAAACCACAAACGTACATGACAGTTTATTTTAACTAAGATGACGTCATAAATTTTACGTATTATTTAAATAATACAAGTGGAAAAAAATTTTGATTATAAATGGCAAATTTAATAAAATAATTATTTATATGATTAATTAATTAATAAAATAATATTTATTTAATTATTAAAAAAAAAAACCGTTGACGCGATTTAAAATAATCAACCCATAAGATAAACATAAAATTATTTTTTTCTTTATTCATGGATACCTTTTTAAAATATTTTTTAATAATAATCGCAACAAATAAAAACGTGAAAAAAATAAATAATTTAATTTTTTCAAACGATTTAAATATAATAATAATAATAATAACTTACGGTTTAAATTATTAATAATAATAATACTTTTATTACCTCGTTCGATCAGGTAATAAACATAATCAAAAAACGATACGTAGAATTTAATGTTTGCTCCTGGTTGTTTATTAACATTTTATTTATTTATTTATTTATTTACAATTATCTAATGGTAACCGTTAATTTTATCTATTTCTTAAACAATTTTTGTCGTTGTACAAACACTTTTCAATAACACGATAACAACATAAATAATTTTTTTTTTTTTACGATAAAGTTAGTTACGTATATAAAATTTAAACGTAATTATTATCATTTGCTTATTAAAAAAAAAAAAAAAAAAAAAAAAAAAAAAACATAAATTATGACAATGCAATGTTGCAACATTTCAACATAAAAAAAACAATTTCGGATTTATTTAACGAATGATTATTATTATTATTATTAAAATTTTTATACAAACAAAAACTCAGGTCAAGAAGAGACGAAACGTAAAGACGACAATTAACCAAAAAAAAAAATTTCTATGACCTCCTATGACTCATGTTCGTTGATATAAAATTTCTTACATTAATGATATTATTATTATTATTTGGATTACGTTTTTAAAACATGATCAATTGTTTTTTTTTTTTACCTCTATCATGTTTGACCATCATGGACCATTTTCCTCCTCATTTTTTTTCCTCTTCAACCTCCTCCTCTTCATCCATATAAACAATAAAAGAAAATAAATTTTAAAATGTGATAAGTCATAACTTTTTTTTTTTTTTTTTTCTTCTGCTTCTGCTTATATGGATATTTAGTAAAAGAAAAACATCCGGTTAATAAACTCATTATTATTATTATCATCATTAAACGAATGTGTTTAAATTGTTGTAAAAAAAAAAAAAAAAAATTGGGGGTTTGTTGAGAGAAATTATTATTATTATTAAAGTAAAACAAACAAACAAACAAACAATGAATAATGGATAATTAATTCTCATAAATTAAAATGAAATCAAAGCGTCAAAATAATTTCTTTTTTTTTTTTTAATGATAGCAAAAAATTATTTGAAATAATAATAATGATGATAATAATATCAGACATGTTTTGATGTTGTTAATATGATTATAAAATAAATTCAACAACGATGGCAAAAAGGATTTTCCGATTCTTGAAAATTTTCCCTTCTTTTTGGGTAAACATCGTCAAAGTGGCGCCATTTTAATAAAAAAAAAAACGGTCAAATTTAAATAATTTGTAAAATTTTATTTTGTAAAAATTTTTCAATGGTTTTTTTTTTTATTTTTTTCCCCAAGCATAAAATTTACACAAAAAGATGAAAAGAAAAAAAGAAAAAAAAGGTAAATGCCGGCTTTAAAATAAAAAAAGGGGGGGGGGGGGGGAGGGGGAGAAGTTCTTTGTTGTTTTTAACGTTTTTTTTTTTTTTTTTTGGGCCACATTTTAAAAAGATTATTAGCATATATGACGTAGTTTAAAATAATTTTCATCAACTAATTTTTTTTTTTTAAACGGCAATGAACTTATATTATAAAAACAGATAAAAAAAAAATTTGTTTTGCTAAGTATTAACCGTTTCTTTCTTTTTTTTGTTAATTAAAAAAAAAAAAAAATAACCCGAATGATTTTTAAAATGATCCCTCTTGATTTGTTAAACTTTCTTACTTAACGATTAATTTTAAAAACAATTATCATTATCATTATCATTATTATTATTATTATTATTAAATAAATCAAGTACGTCTCTGTTTAATAAATGTATATAAGGTTTAAGTATCAAATTACAAAAAAATTTTTTTTCTTCGTATTTATTTTGTAATTGAATTATCAATAATACAAAAAAAAAATTTAGTTTTGACTAATTAGCAAAGGAAAAAAGCAGACGACGTGTTATTTTTTAACGGTTTTTTTATCTTTGAAGTAATTTAATAAAACAGAAGTTTTATATATTAAAAAAAAAAATTCAATAACGATTAAAAACTTTAGTTTTATATTACTTTTTAAATTTACGGATAAAATATAATAAATAATAATAATAATGATAATAATAATGATATTTAAAAAATAAAATAAATTTAATTTGTTGTTTTGCCTAAGGCTTCTTAAAAAAAAAAATCAACCTGATACCTGCCTGCCTGAACTTACTCGCGAAATGTAATAATATATATAAAACCGTATTAAATTTTATTATTATTATTATTTTTCAATACGTCGTCATAAGTTTTTTTTTAATAAAATTATTTATTATAATTTTTCATAATATATGAAAAAAAAAACCAGATATTCAGGTTCGAATTTAATAATAATAATAATAATAAATGAAACGGTTAAAACGACAACTGAACAAAAAAAAACTATTTATTATTATTATTATTATTATTAATAAAGTAAATAATTAAAGATTTAATAATGGTAATACACGATTAAAAGATTTAAAAAAAAAAGAAAAAAAAATAGACAACGGAAAATAACTTTATTAGCAGAAATTTGTGCTAAATTAAATAAACCAATTTGATCGACCTGGCAAAGGTTCAAACACTTTCATGTTTTATTAAATTTTTTCCCGTGAGGTGCCTGAACGTACCCTTACGAGATTTCAAATGATGGGGATTACAAAAATTCCACAAGAAGGGGCAACATGATGAAAAAGATGATTATTAAAGAGAAAAAGTAGAAGAAGATGATAATAATGATGATGATGATGATGATTATGATTAACGGAGGAAAGAGGCCAGGTGCAAACGTATGAAAAAAAAAAAATTTTTTTTAGAATAAAATCGGTTAAAAGAATCTGAACGAGCAAGCAAGAAAGCAAGGAGGTGAGGAAACGAGCGAGCGAGCGAGCGTGTCGCTGCCTCCGCGTTTTCTAAACTCTGGACTCTCGGTGCACGTTCCTCATCAGTTTGTATTCGGACGTAGCCGTTAAATGTTTATTACTATTATTATTATTATGTTGTCGTTCAGGTTTTGCGACGACCATCGTGATCATCGTTAACGTTTTCATGTTTTTTTTTTTTTTTTTTTTTTTTTCTCTCTAACTTATTGCTAACACTTACCGTTTGAAACCGTTAATATTTTATTTAGAGAAAGTGTTTTCAAAAAAAAAGAAAAGAAATGTCGTCGTTTACCATTATAAAATTTTCCGTTTAATATCGTGCAAGTTATTTAACGTTTTTTTTTTTTTTTCAAATTCGGATTCGTTTTCTTTGATTTTTTAATCGAAACGAAAAAGAAAAAAAGATTTAAATATTTACATATGATGTTTAAAGTGTGTAATTTTTTTAATTTAAACGATTTAAATTTTAATATAGTCGTTTTTTTTTTAATAATAAATTTTTTTAGGTAAGTTTTTTAAAAAAAAAAAAAAACAGTCGATGGTTTACCACAATCATTTCATGCCAATTTTTTTTTTTTTGTCGTTTTTGCAAATATTATGGAATTCCAAGAAAAACATTTTATAGAAAGGAACAAAAAAAAAGAAATGTTAAAAATATTTACATGTGTTTCAGTTATAAACCTGATTAGGCACGATTACGGTCAATATAAATAATAATAATAATAATAATCTGATTATAAAAAGCGACACAATGCCAACCGGTATTTGTTGTTATTGATTATTATAAACCAGTAGTCGTTTTGTTATTTATATATATATATATTAAAATACTAAAAATAAATTTTTAAACTTATATGTATATAATATATATAGGATAGAAATCAAAAACGACCGACATTTTTATATCCATTCACAAAAGAAAAGAAAAAAAATGGAAAATATTTAGAGATTTGGAAAAACAAACAAACAACGATATACGATTTTCTTTCTTTGCTTTTTTTATATAAAAAAAAAAAATTCGTTAAAGAGTAATAAGAAAAAGAATGATAAAATGATACCATAGTAATAAAATATTTAGAGAAAGTATTGAATTAAATGAGAAAGAATGAAAGAATGAAAAAAAAAATTCTGGAATGAGAAATTAAAACCGCATTTGCATGTCGAATTACATTTTCTGCTTATTTGATAGTTAAAAAAAAAAAAACCGAAGGAGAAAAGAAAGAAAGAAAGAATGAAAAAGAAATTTCTAGTTGTTGTTTTAATGGTCGACTTATTCGCCCTTCTTAAAATTTTTTTTTTTTAAATTACCGTTACTACCATAAAGTTGTATTATTAAACAAAGTGAAAAGAAAATTTTTGATCTTGGCAGCCATAGGAAAAGAGAGAGAGAAAAAAAGTTTTTGTCATATAATCAACGGGTTGTGAATAATGGTTACTTAATAACTCAGTAAATAACAAAAAACCATATATTATGGCGACTGTGTGGTGTATAAATTTAACGCGTTCAGCAAATTTCATTTAACCGCTCGTTGAATTTTTTTTTTACACCGTTTAGTCGTTTAGTTCTCTTAAATTTTTTTCTTTTTTTTTGTTTCTCTTTTGTTTTTGTTTTACCTTTGTTTGAAAAAAAAAAAAGTAACGATTTTATTATTATTATTGTCGTCGTAGTCGTCATCGTCATCGTGTTTTTGTTTTGTTTTCAGTTATGTGATCGATCATTGACACGACCGAGAGATGAAAATGAAGATATTGACTTTTCTAATAGAATTTTTAACTTGCCTAAATATTTTTGTGCCAACAAGTGGTACCGTGATATTAAATAAGTGTTGTCCGGATAATGAATTTTTAAACGAGAATTCATTATGTGTGAGTTCGCCTCAAGAATGGATTCCGATCGTTGTGACGAAAAATTTTACACGAAGATTAAATTCGTACGAAGTTAAAGAATTGTTAAATTCATGGACGGTTAATAACGAAAGGCCGAAATGCGGTGAAAATGAAAAAGAAGAATTTATTAATCTCCATTACAAACAATTTCTATTGCTCGACAATGGTTCTCTGTGGTACGAAGGATATTTTTTAAATCATCGATCTTTCTGCATCGATGATAGTTCCGCTGTTGTTTGCGTTAAAAATGATAATTTCGATTACGTGTACAACGGACCACCCGCGGAACAAGTCAAAAGAGTTTTCATAAAAAAATGTTGCCGAAATAAAAAAATATATTCGAAAGAATTAAATGGATGCACCGTGGTGGTACCTTATGGGGAACCCGCGACTCTTCCCAAATTTCTACAACACACCACATCCTCGTCCGTATTAAATTTAACGAATACATTTTTCGAATACGGTTTTCCGGATTGCGAAGAGGGTTACATATTCACGGGAAGATTATCCGAACATAATTCCTCGTTGCAACAAGATGGATCATTGTATTTGCCAACTGCAAAAGTACTCCTAGAACCGAAAACATTTTGTTTGGAATACGTGGAAGAAGAAAAAAATGTTAAAATCCCAACGATTTTTACCTGTCCGAATTTTTTACCCGTACCCGTGAACGGGTCTAGAATAGCACCCGAACAAGGAGACATTCGATTGACTCTTTACCCATTGGCTTTGTTCGTGAGTGTTTTTTTTCTAGCTGCAACTTTAGCCACCGGTTATTTAGTACCTAGTACTCATCACATGCTTCATTGGAGATGTCAAACTTATCACGTTGCGTGTTTGATGTTGGGTGATTTCCTGTTGGCCGTCACGCAAATCGTCGGACATACGTTTTCATTGGAAATTTGCACCGTGTTCGGTGAGTTTTTTTTTTTTTTTTTTTTTTAAACAACAAAAACACAAAAACATTTCGTCAGTTTATTAATATATATATCATCGGTAACAAAACATATAATTAGTTACATAAACGTAAACGTGGAAATTTTAGGAAGTAGTAGTCAACATTACCATTTATCTTTTTTTTTTTTTTGTTTTGTTATTGTTCACCACATGAGTAACAACATTAACAATAATCTATATTCGATTCATTTATTCATTTATCAAAAAATTCGATTTGAATTTCTTTTCTTTTCTCTCACATAAAAACTTTAACAACCCTAAAAAAAAGAAAAGAAAAGAAAAGAAAGAAAAATCATCGATTTGTACGGTTTAGTCATTTTGGACCCTGAAATTAATTTTTTTTTTTTTTTTTTTTTCATGTAAACACACGGTTGTGACTAATAATGTGTTCTTTTTTAAATGAATTTGTCTGATAAAAATTTTTTTTTTTTTTTTTGGTTGGTGTTGTTGTTGTTGTTGTTGTTACAACCTTTAAGTATTAAAAGCATACAAAACACTTTTTATTTTTTACTTTCGGTTTATTAATATAAATGAGTAAATACAAATTTTTTTTTTTGATAAAAATAATTACTAAACATGACGCACTGAATAAAAAAAAAATTCAATCGATTATTATTGATTTATCAATTTTTTTATTTAGTACGATACGTAAGGATAAATAATAATAATAATAACGAATTATGAAATCGAAAATTTTTTTTTTCTCAGGGAGTAGTAAAAAGGGGGAAGGGGAGGAGGGGAGGCAAGAAATACACGAGGAGTGTGTGTGTGAGAGAGATAGAGATAGATAGAAAGAAAGGGAGAATCTAAACAATTTTTTATTTGTAAATGTAACCGAATAAAATTTTAAATAACCCATAATAAAAACGTGCACACACCCACCACAGTGAGATCAAATATAAATTGTTTATTATTATCAGTGACGTAGTTTTCTCTCTTTTTGATTTCAATGAATCAAATGTTTAGGTTAATAGAAAGTTCAATAAGAGAAAAAAAATTTTCTAATATTTTTTTTTTTTTTCGTTTACAACGATGCCCTTTTTTTTTTTTTTTTTACAAATCGATTCTCAATATCGATTTTTTTTTTTTTTTAAATTTTTCAATAAAGAAAATAAAAACAATGGAATCCAAATGAGTAGTATTAAGGGTCTATTCACTTGTGGTAACCTTGACTTTGTAAAATAAAGTTACTGTTAGTCGTCGATTTGTACATATCTGGGTCATCAAAGAATTTGTTTTACATAGTTTTTTTTTTATTAAAGAGTTTACATCATAGTGTTTAATAATAATAACAACAAAAATTATTATTATTATTATTATTATTATTTCAAGGTTTACTTCATTTATATTTATTCCGTCCAAAAAAAAAAAGAAAGAAAAATATTTAATTTCTTTTAATTTTTAACAATATTATATAAACTCGCCTTCCGACTCGAACACATTCTTTTCCTACTTTTTATTTTCGTTTTATTATTATTATTATTATTATTATTATTATTACTATCATTACTATATCGGTTCACCTTGTGTCTGTGTTTTAATTAACCCAAGTCGCCTTATAAACCAACTCGATTCTTACTAGTGTTAAATATACGAATTTTTTTTTTTTAATAAAAATGTTAAACCTTAAAAGGAATAGGTACTTAGGTACCTACCTAGGTACCTCCTACCGATGGGTAATGGTTAGCAAAAAAAAAAAAAAAAAACTTTTTCGTATACGAAAAAATAAAATAAAATAAATCTGGTTCCACGTGAGTTGTTACCTCTGGGTGTATTTTGGATTGTTGTTACGTGATGTTAAGCTACCGAACTTACTCTATTGCATTACAAAAAAAAAAAAAAAAAAAAAAAAAAAAAAAAAAAGGTACGGACGGTTTGATTTAATGTAACACAAGAGCGTTAGAACCTTGAATATAATAAATAATAAATAATAATAATAATAAATTTTTTTGTTCATTTTGAAGAGTTTTAACGTGCGTGCAATTGATTTGATTAATGTTTCGTTGCCGTTTGCATGCATGCATGTTATGCATTAAATCCCATTAATACATATTATATACTGTAAAAGAATAAGAGAAAAAGTATTTAAGAAGGGCCATTTTACTAATTGACTCCCAAGAATAATAATAATAATACAATGCATGAGTAATTTTTTTTTTTTTTTTTTTTAAACCCATGTTAAACGAACCCTTTTTTTACACATAATCTACTTTTATTTAATTATAATCAAAAAATTTTTTTTTTGGGATTTAATGTCGGTTTGCCATGCGTTTGTTTTTTTTTTTTGTTTTCCCTTTAAAAAAAATAAATAAATAAAGTTAAAGTTTGGTAAATATTGATGTGTTTCTTTCTGTACACTCACACGCACGTACACACACACACGCACACACGCACAGAAAAAACCGAAAAATGTTTTTTTTAATAAAAAAAAAAAAAAAAAAATTAGTTTTAAAAGTTTATTTTAATATAAACAAATTGTTTATTCCGAACAAGTTTGTACGTGGTCAGGATATTGTACAGACTTTTTCATTATTAACGTTTTGATTGAGAAAAACAATTATTATTATTATTATTATTATTATTTAAAAATAATTATTTTTTTGCCCTTAAAACGCCCTTTCGAACTTTTTTTTAAATCATTAAAATGTTTTTTTTTTTTTTTGTTTCAGCGATACTGATGCACGTTTTATTTTTGGCTGCTTTCTTTTGGTTAAACACGATGTGTTTTAACATATGGTGGACTTTCAGGTACGGTGATTTACATTTAAAATACCTAGCAATTACAAAAAATTAATTAAAAATGAGAGAGAGAGAGAGTTAATGATTTATTTTGTTAACCACAAAACGCGGTTAACATTTAAAAAAAAAAAAATTTTTTTTGAAAGTTATACCAAAAACTTGAGTTCAAAGCCTTTTTCCTAAAAAAAAAACCCTCAGGCAACATTTTATTGTTGTAATTACCAAGCAATAAAATGGTAAAAATATTCGAGTAATGCACACACGCACACGCACACGCACACACACACACACACACACACATGAGGAGTTTTTCCTCATTAAATCAAAAAAAATCACGACGTTATCCTTTGATAACCCTTATTTAAAAAAAAAATTATTATTATTATTATTATAATAATAAAAATTGTCTACCTTTGTTTCTTAATATTTATTAAATTACACTTTGTTTGCCATTTCCCTTTTCCCTCCCCCCCTCTCCCCCCTCTCTTCTGTCTTTTGAAAACATAACAAAAGTTTATTTACCCAACGAAAAGAAATTTAAAACTTAATTTCTCGCCATTATCGCCATTAAGAATAAAAAAAAATTTTTTTTTCCTTTAGTCATGATTTAGGTTCATCTACGGACGATTAATTCGTATTAATTTCGAAATTGTATAAAGTTAATAATAATTAACACTTTCCAATTTTATATGATGATGATGATGATGATGATGCCATATATTTTCTAATTAACCTTAATCCTACCATTCGGTAGAATAAGTCAACCGTTATTATTATTATTAAACGGTCACATTCAATAAAAATTTCTTTCTTAATATTAAAAGAAAAAAGAAAAGTTATTATTATTATTATTAATAATTTTTTTAATCGTCCATTTTTTTTATTTATTTAATTTGAGTTTGAGTTGCGGCAAACGTTAAATAAACGTTTTCTTTGAGTGCGTGCGTGAGTGCGTGAGTGAGTGCGTGAGTGCGCGTACACAAAAAGTTAAAAGTGACAATTAGAGTTACACTTAATTAAATTTTAAATATGTTTTTCTTTTTCTTTTTTTTTACCCGTACGTTCGGCTCGTTTTTTTTTTTCCTTTCAACTTTCCCCCCGTTTAATGATTCTTATTTTTTCTTCCCCCCTATTCATCCTCCCCCGACTACCTCCCCAAATGACATTCCTTTTAGAATCCGCAAATAACTTGAAAGTTTATTTTTTTTATTTTTTTTTATTTTACATGACGACGTCTGATTATCATTTGTAACGTTATTATTATTATTATTACTTTGTTTTCCCTCGCGGTAACCGTTCTCATCATCATTATTATTATTATTATTATTATTATTATTATTATGGGTACGAAATTGGGTTTTGGAAATATGGAAAAAAATTGAAAATAAAAATTTATTAATTTTGATATTATTTGACAACCATCAATAATATTTAAATTTAACGATCATGAAAACTGGCTTAAATCCAAAGTTTTGTGTTTTTGTGTGTACTGATAGATATGAAAATGTTTCGAATGAAAGAAAAATAAAATTCTATTCGTTTTTTCTTTTTTCATTTCTGCCAAAGTCTTTAAAATAAAACATCAATTAATATAAACTGCACACGCACTCACGCACACACACACACACACACACACATTGATTTTTTTTTAATTTACAAAAGAAAAAAAAGGAGAGAAAAAAAAATCAAATTACAATTATTTATTTATTTTTTTCAATAAATAAATATTCGATATTTTAATACGATGATAATAATGATAATAAAATAAAATCGTTAAAGGAAAAGCAAAAAAAAGGAAAAAAGGAAATTGTATTTGTTGGTGTCTTATGATTAAGTCGGCGCCATTTTTAATTTGAAAAACCAAAAAAAAAAAAAAAAAAAAAAAAAAAGAAAAATTATTCCAGTGTGTGTGTAGTTAATTGTAACGTATTAAATAAGTTTCTCTCTCTCTCTCCCTCTCTCTCTCTCTCTCTCTCTTAATATTAAATTTAATAATAATAATGTTTAGTAAAAAAAAAAAAAAAAAAAAATTTAAGTGAAAATAATAGTAATAATAATAATAATAAACTATTAAAAATAATTTATTACGTAATTTATTTCTCATTAGAAAAGAAACCGTTTGATTAATTTTTTTTTTTTTTTTTGTAAGTGGTTTATTTTAAATAATAATAATAATAATAATAATTATCCAATTTTTCTATTTAAATTTTTAAAGAGGAAATAAATTTGATTAAATAAAAATGAATGAAAAGGAAAAAATTTCAAATGGCGGATTTTTTAAAAACAAATCGTATTCCGTCTTTCAGAGAAAAATTTTTTTACAGTCGTCTTGTAAACATTTTTTTTTTTTTTTTTTTTTTTTTTTGGGGGGGGTCATTAGAGATCTTCGACCGACAAGTTTAGATAAAAGTCAAGAAGTATGGAGGCTTAGAATGTATGAAATATATGCTTGGGGAGTACCATCTATAATAGCAATAACCGCCATAGTATTCGATCATTTACCACAGGGATCATTTCCATCGATACTCAAACCAAAATTTGCCGTCAGAAATTGTTGGTTTTACGGTGAGTTTTCCTTATTTTTTTTTTTTTTTTTTTTTCCTCGTTAACTTCAAATAAAAAAAATTATTATTATTATTATTATTATTGTTTTTACAGGTGATTTAGAAATATTTACATATTTTTTCGGTCCCATTGGTATCCTCCTTTTTTTAAATTTAATTTTATTTGCTCTCACGGCAAGAGAACTCACTTGCGGTTTATGGAGGAGTGAAGTTGTTAAATCAACCACAGAAAGGTAAAAAAAATTTTTTTTTTTTTTTAAATTTTTTTTCTATACATATTTGTGAACAGGATGGAAAAAAAAAATAATAATAATAATAAAATTTGTTGTTGTAATAAATAAGAAAAGATCATTAAAAAAAAAAAAAAAATCTTCTTCTTGTTGTTTTTAAAGCAGAGATTATTTGTTTTATTATTTTGCCCATACGGCTAAACATAAGCACACACACACCTACGTTGTAAACAAAATAAAATTTTAATTCATTATTACTAAACGCCCAAGTAAATATTACATAAAACTTTTTTTTTTTTTATTATTTGTTTTAAATTTTTTTTTTTAAATGTCGTGGGTAGATGTTAATTATTTATAATAATAATAATAAAAAAAAAAAGGTTTGTGGATTTCAGGTATATAATTTATTCGAATCGTAAAACCTTTTTTTTTTTTTTTACCCCCCAATTTTTTGTTTGTTTTTGTTTTTATAGGGCGACCCTGGGTAAAGTTTGTTTAAAATTGGTCGTTGTAATGGGTATCACATGGATAGCTGACGTTACATCATGGGCTGTCGGTGGTCAAAGTGCATGGTATGTCACAGACATAATAAACGCGTTGCAAGGTGTTTTTATATTTATCGTAGTAGGGTGTCAACCACAAATATGGGCAACGTTTAAAAGGCTTTGGTGCTTCCGCGAAATCACAAACACGAGCATGAATGGTAATCAACAAAGTTGTTCCCAAGATGTACCATCATTGGGAGATTCAACTTTTAACAATACTCAAAATACGAGTTTAAAAGTTCCTGTCGGTGAAACTTTATGTTAATTTATGTTGTTGTTTTTTTTTTTATTACGATAGCCAACAGAAAAATGTATTAAATTGTAAACCCTATCCTCCCTCCCCCCCATTTTGTTTTGTTTTTTTTTATTTTTAATTGTTAACAATAACAATATGGAAAAAAAAAATTATTAATCCCATTGCTCTCTCTCTCTCTCTCTCTCTCTTCCCCCCCCCCCCCCGCCACTTTTCTACCAAATAATTTGCTCAGGTGAAAGCCTGAGCCCGAATCCTTTGTTGGTATTGTAAAAATACCTGAAAATTAATTTAAAAAAAAAAAAAAAAAAAAAATATTTTAAAAAGTAATTAATAAATATTTCCGAGATTCTTTCTAACCTCGCCTAAATTTCAAGGTTTTCAAAATATCTATAAGACTGTAAATACATTTATGTGTTCCTTTTTTTTTTTTTTTTGTCTCAGACTTAAATATTTAAAATATACAATAAATAAATAAATAAATAAAGGTAGAGGTCACGTGATACGTAATCTACTCAATTAAAAATCGATTATATCCGTATTAAATTTAATATTTAAAAAAACCGGATCAATTTTTTTTTTTTTTTTTTTTTTTAAATGGCAAATTTGTACTTAATTTAAAAAACAAATTATTGTTTCTTAATTTTTAATTTATATATAATTATATATATATTGTATTATTATAAATGTGAAATCGTTGACTAATTTAAATCGTTCATTCATTTTTTTTTTTTTTTTGTGATTTCCTAAAATGAAATTAGTTTTATATTGAAACGAATTGTCATGTGTGTATAAAAGATGTCTGCTGTAAATTGTTTGTAATTTTGTGGTTAAAAACAAAAAACCTTTTTAATATTGTTTAGTTTTAATTTTATTGAAGTGCATTTTTTTGAACGTATTTTAGTAAATATATAATTGAAGCAGGAGTCACACCTGGAATTCTGGAAGCAGCAGCGATCTGTAAAAAAAATAAATCGTAAGTAAAAATTTTTTTTTTAATTCAACTTTTATGGAATTTTAAATATGTATATAAATCTCACCGTTTGAGGTTTGGCCAATGATAATTTACTCCTTTCTTCTAAACTCATATTTAATGATTCTTTAAAATAATCAATTGAATTTGGTATTTTAAGAGATTCTTGTTTTCTAACCTCTTCAATTTCTAACAATTCTTGTTCTAAAGCTGATTCGTAAATTGCCTCGACTAATATTCTGTGACACAATATATTATCTTCTGGTAAATGTTTAAAAGCTGTTTCACTCAAACTTCTAAGCTCATCAAAATTTGCATTAAATCTTACAGAGGGAAACATTTGCATTGCACTGGAAAAAATTTAAAAAATTAAAATAAAGAAAAAAATATTTTAAAAAAAAAAACATGAACATATTTTTTTACTTACCTTACTTTTTCAGTATTTTTTGACTTGTTCATTTTTAAAATATCACACCATGAATAAACTGACTTAAAATCAGATTTTAATTTTTTTATTGTTTCATTTAAAATATTTTCAACGCTTAAAGTTAATTCGTAACGGTCTTTTGAAACGCATCCTATATCATATCCTTTTTTGGTTAACCTAAGATCTGCATTATCAGGCCTTAAATATAATCGAAATTCTGCTCTAGAGGTAAACATTCTGTATGGTTCATTAGTTCCCAGTGTAGTTAAATCATCAATTAAAACACCTATGTATCCTTCACTCCTATTAACTATAAATTCTGGTTTTCCCTGACATTTTGCTGCAGCGTTTATTCCTGTTTTTTAAAAAATTATCATTTATAATTTAAAAAAACTTTTTTTTTTTTATCTATTTTCAGGCTGTGATTTTTTACCTGCAATAACTCCTTGTGCTGCAGCTTCTTCATAACCTGTCGTTCCATTTATTTGACCAGCAAAAAATAAGTTTGGTACTTTAATTGTTTCCAAACTGGGATTTAATTCTCTAGGATCAACATAATCATATTCTACTCCATAACCAGGTTGCACAATCACTGCTTTTTCCAAACCTGGTAATTCATTAACAATTTTCTGTTGTAAATCCTCAGGTAATGTACAAGATAAACCACCAGGATAAATTACATCACTATCTAACCCTTCAGGTTCAAGCCAAATTTGATGTTGGGCTCTATTAAATCGCAGATATTTAGATTCGATGGAAGGACAATATCTAGGTCCATTGATTTCTTCTCTGACATGCCTGTTCAAATGCATATTATCTGCTATAATTTTACCAATTTTTTCATTTGTGTGAGTCAAAAAACAAGGTATTTGATTTTCTGGTCTTATCCATACTTTTTTGTTTAAAAAAGAAAAAGGCTGAGATGGATTATCTGGTTCTTGCCTTATACAGACACTAAAATCAATGGTTTCCTTTCTTAATCTGGGTGGAGTTCCTGTTTTTAGCCTACCAAGGGAAAATTTTAATCTTTCCAAGGTTTTTGCTAATGGTATGGCAGGCTCATCTCCCATTCTTCCAGCTGGTTTAACTTCTAAACCAATATTAATTTGTGCATTTAAAAAAGTTCCAGTTGTTAATATAACAGTTTTACTTAATATTTTATCACCCAGTTTTGTTACAACACCTAAACAAGAATTACTTTCCTTATCAATTAATAAATCATCTACTGAAGTGAACATGACATCTAAATTAGAAGTTTTATTAAACACCTCGTTTTGAATTTCTTTCTTATATAACTTTCTGTCAATTTGAGCTCGTGGACCCCAAACTGCTGGCCCTTTAGATTTATTTAAAACTTTATAGTGAACGCCTGTTAAATCACAAATTCTCGCACATACTCCATCTAAAGCATCGACTTCCTTCATTAAATGTCCTTTTCCTATTCCTCCAAAAGAAGGGTTACATGACATTTCACCTAAAAAAAATATCAAAAGTGTATCATTGGAAAATAATATTCAATATTAGTATTTAAACGAAATAAAATTGAGTTCAAGTAAATTTAAAAAAAAATTACAAATGTTAAAAATTACCTATACTCTCCTTTTTATGGGTTATCAGTAACGAATTTACCCCCATTCTACTGGCAGCACAACAGGCTTCAACTCCTGCATGTCCACCACCAACTACAATAACATCATACTTTTTAGAAAAAAATTCTGAAGAATAATAACGATTAACTAATCGAGGTGCGTTACTAAATATTAAAAATCTATGAGTAATTAACTTCATTGTAAATAATAACTTAACGTAGTAAAAATATACACATTGTAAACCGGTGGTTAAAAACCACTGCCTTTTATTAAAACTTATCGTTAATTTTAAATTTAATTTAATGTGTTGAACGAGCTTTGCGAAATTCTTTGATAAAAGCTAGTAATTCAAAAAAAAAAAAATTAAATGTTTTCTCGTTTGAAAACGAATTACAAACCAGGTAAAATTTAGTTTCTTTTGATGAAAAATCATACTTTCGTTTTTACAACGTATGATAATTATTATTTTATAGATTATTCAAATTTTTTTACACCAAACAGTAAAAAGAAAAGAAATGAAAAAGAATTTGAAATTCGTTTTTTAAATGACATTTACTGGATTCCTGAAGTATTAGATAAAGGTTAAAACAAAATACTTTTACTTATTTTTTTTCAATTGTTACTTTTTATTTTTATTTAAAAAAAAAAAACATATTACTTTAGAAATAATTTATTTTGAGTACAGTCGTGAATGGAAAAATTACTTAATGGATAAAAACTGGAATGAAGTTCGAAAAGCAGGTACTGAAGGTTTAAGATTTACATTTTACACACCGAAAATAATTGGAAGTGTTTTTAACATTTGTTTTATGCTTCAACAACCACCTGAAGTGAGATATTTAGCTGTTGAACTATTAGATAGGTAATAATCAAAATAACTTAGAAAGATTTATAGCTGCACATGTGTGAATTTAATCATTTTTCTTTTTTCCAGGTTCTTTATATCACATTTTTACATAGTAGTTGACATTTTTAAAAATACAGAAAATTTACATTCCTCAGAATGGGAAATAATTTTTAATAGAATGATAAATCAATCTGTATTGAGAATGTTATCATGTATTCAGTTAGCAATTAAATATTCAAACAATAATTGTGTTAGTACCATTCATTCATTCATAAAATTTACTTTTAATCACTTAAAAAATAAGATACAATAATGCATAAAATATTTGGAAAAATCTTTAGATTATAACTATATCGACTATTCAAGATATAATGAAACATTTGAATCATCCATTTGAATATTCGAAACAAAATATCATAAAATCAGAAGGTCGAATTTATAAATCTCTTGATTTTAATGTAAGAAATATAAAAAAAAAATTAAATTTATTTTTAAATGATAATTATTTATTAAACAAAAAGATTATTCAAATAATAATAATTTTTTATTTTAGATTCCGACAACAACTCCATTAACTTATATAGAAATGTTTTTTGAAAATTACATGAATCAAAATTTTTTTCACTTAATAAAAATTCCACCATCTTTTTTTTTAAAAACCTGCATTGATATTTTAGATGTAACTATGATTTACCATTCTCTTATTTATATGAATTTCTTGGAAAAATTTGAAAAACATTTAAAAAATGAAATCAATATGGAAAAATATAACATTCAATTATTTAAGGGTGTGTGTTCTTCATTTAATCGTTTTACAAATAGTATTTCACTTAAAAACGAAATCAAAATAAAGTACATTAAAAATTTTTGAATTTTTGAAAAGGTTTTTAATTGAGAAATAAATTTATTTTAAAATTATTTTCAGCTGATTACATGACTTTGGCAGCATCAATTATTTTTTCCGCATCCGTTTTAAATCATTTAAATAAAGAAATTTCTTATCAATTGTTTGAAATTTTGGAATTTTCCGATTATCAAAAATTAAATATTCTCTTACTCGGAAAGGAAATATTAAAAATTATTTGTAATTAAATTATTTATCTTATTTTAATTGAATAAAAATTTAAAAAATGTAATTTATTTTCATTGAAAAACATACAATTAATTACAATTTTAATCAACTACCCGTGTGACCGACTATTTTGTAATACGTTTTGTCGTTTATCTTTATTTATTTCGTCACTGACGAAAACGACTCTTAATCTGATTACTTTACCTAATATTATAAATAAATCAGATTCTAAATTTCTAACTAATTTTTTCAATTTGTTTTTTCTATGCGTTAATGCTAATTTTAAATGTTTTAATTTTTTGCATCGTACTAGAGCCACGCAAACAAGTTCACCTGTGTAAACGGAAAAAAATCAATAATTAAATATTTTTAAGTGTAAAAAAAAAAAAAAAAAAAAAAAAAAATTGTATTTATATTTATATTCACCGTAATCGTTTTCTTCCAGATACTCTACTTCGAACGAACACTGATACGGAACCTCTTTTGGAAGTAAATCCATTACTTTAGCACGGAGTAAACTGGTGATTATAACAGTAGGAGGTTTATCGCAAACATTGTCATCTAATATCCAATCGCTTTCTTTTGCTTCGCTTAGAAGATAATCAACTATTCGATCTACTCCTAAATCTAAAATAATTTTTAAAATTATGTTTTACAACAAAAAATGTAGTCACAAAATCAATCGATCGAAAATTTTTTCGCTTACTTTTTAAAGCGGAAATGTGAAATATTTTTGAAAATTCAATTTTCGGTAGTTCTTCGTCCGATTCATTTTCTTTTTCAAGAGCTTTATTAATATTATCGATAGAATTTCCGACGTATGAATACTGCTTAATTACATCGTACTATATCGAAAAGAAAATAACTTTTTTTTTTAAAGGAATTTAATGAGAATTTATCGTTTTAAAAATTTTCAAAAACAAAAAAAAAAAATTATGTATTTACCTTATTCAATATTAAAAAAATCGGTTTCGGGTTTTTTAAAGTTCTTATTTTTCTAATTAAAGTCTTATGATATTTTATATTTGTATTAAAATAAGGAAGTTCGCATATTAATCCAATCATATCGACTTCGTTTAAAACGTTTTGTTCCCAACCGACAATAGAATCGTCTAATTCAAATCTAAAAAAAACAGAGTTATTAAATAATAATAAATAAAGGGCAAAAAATGATTATTATTATTATTATGTTTTTAAGGTTTTCGTTTTTATTCAAACAAGTGGTGGTTTAAAGAGAATTATTAATTTTAATAAACTCACTTGGAAAATTCTTTTTTCGTTACCAAACCAGGAGTATCGACAAAAACAATTTGCGTATTTCCATGTGTAAATGATGCTTTGATGGGAAATTTTGTCGTGTGACTTTTAGACGAAGAATCACAAATGTTCATTTTTAATATTTTATTTATTAGCGTGCTTTTTCCCGCATTCGGTCGACCCAATATGGCAACTTTAAGTAATTTTTTTTTTGATTTTGTATCGGGAAAATCTTCTTCTGAATTTTGTTGATGTTGAAATCGTACGCCGTAAAAAATTACATTTCGAAAGCATTTTAATTCGAAATGAAAATTCTGAAAAGACGTAAATATTTTTAATAATGTAACATGATAACATAATAATAATTTTAATATAGTGTTATTATTATTATTGTAAAGTATTAAATAAAATATGTGATAATTATTAAGTAACCATAGTAATAAAAACGACGTGTAATATACCTCCTGGATATTATATTTAACGACGCCTGGGCAGTTTCGCCATTTTTACACCGTCAATAAAAAAGGAATAATTTTTATTTATAAATTTATTTTATTTATTTTAATATCAAATGAATACATAACTTTTTTTTTTTTTTTATATTATTTATTTTAATTGATTTTTTTTATGTTTCTTGTGACTAAAGATGACAACAGTAGAAAGAACGATGTCATCGACATCTACCAAACTGACAGCAAGATCTTCGGCATGTAGCACGACTTCGTCAATGCGTAAACAAAACCGATCGCATTTTGCTAAATACTACTCGGATTTATGCCACATTCAGCATTCTCATCCTTTAAGTGTCATTAAACAAAATTTAGATAAAGGTATTTTGGATTTTTACTGTGACAGAATAAAATTTGAGGAATGGTGGTCCATAATAAATGCTTTAAGTTGTGATAAAACGCTTCATTTTGTTGCCATTAGGTCGCGACATCCTCAAAGGCAAACTTTAGAAACGGCCGATACTGAATTAAAGGCTAGAGGTGTAACTAAGCAGCCGGTAGTTACTACAAGGTTTGTTCTTTTATGGCTTACGGAAGCGTTAAAAATGTGTCTCAGTCAATCATCAACTTTAACTGTTTTGGAATTAGAAGGTTTACCACTTTTAGGAGACTATTTAACTTCCCTAACTCAGGGACTAGTCCATACAACAACTCTTCAGCATTTATCTTTATCAAGATGTCCGATTAGAGACGAAGGTGCTGAAATTATTTGCCAAGCGATCAGAAATTTACCGTCAGTTTTATCGTTAGATTTATCTTACTGTGGTTTAACGGAAAAAGGTGCCGAAATTATAGCTGGATTAATTAAGTATCAAAAATTAAATCGCTATAGCGAAGCTTGGAAACAAACATTGAGATATCGCGATCCCGATGTGGAAGCCATGCCGGGACTAAGAAGAATAACATTAAATAGCAATCCTAATTTGGGAGACGAAGGAATTAATATTTTAGTAGAAGAAATAAAAGATGACCTATGGCTCCGAGCGCTGGACGTTCAAGATTGTGGACTAACTGATGTTGGCGGTAGAATATTGGTAGACCTTCTTGAAAGTAATGGTAATTTGGTTATTGTCGACGGAAGGGCTAATGCTTTTATGAATGAAGAAGTATTGCTTGAAATCATGAATCAGTTAGCTCTAAACAATCAAAATAAAAACGATACCGAGTATAAATGGATTAATAAAAATCCGGATTTAAATAAGAGGAAAACTCAAAGATTGAATGCCAGGCTCAGGCCTTGGACGGGGCGTAGTAGCACGCATTTAAACAATAAGGTTCCTCCACCCTCTGAGTATGGTTCTGGTGTTACCACAACGAGGCCTCCCTTTTTAAAGAGAAGCAACACAACTTTAAATAACGATTCATTTTGGAAGAAAAAACAACAAACGATGTTCGATAAGCGAAAAGATAATTCCAAGTCAAATGAAAACGAACGACTAAGACTACAGCTAAGAGATTTAACTTTGCTGTTAAGTCAAGAAGTAAGTCATAAATTGGCATTAATGGAAGAAAACAAAGCTTTAAAAGAGTTGTTAGAAAAAGAAGAAAATGAGAAAAAAAAACTAGCAGAGGCTCAAAACAGCAAATTACATTTGGAAGATGATACTTTGAAAGTTATTGAAAAAACTATTAATAGATTCGGAATGTATTTGGAACAAAAGAATAAAGAAAAAGACATTGAAGAAAATGAAAGTGAAGTTACAACTGCTAGAAGTACAGAAGAAAAGGATTTACCAGAACTAGTATCGAATCTACAAGTAATTTTAAAAAAAGCAGCTAGTTCAACAGATCAAAGCTTTGAAAAAAAGAAAAGTTACAAAAAACATAAAGAAAAAGCTAGGCAATCAAAAAGTGAAATTAGAAGTACAGCTACAAGAGATAATAAATTATTTATCGATTTAAAAGTAGGTGACCACATAAGCGAAGAAAATGCATTAGATAAGCATAGAATGATTTTAGAAAAAAATAGAAGGACACAATGGTTGAAAAATAGAGCTAAAGATCAAATTATTTGGGAAGAGGAAGAAACAAGTTCAAACTGTGGTGATCATAAATCGAAAAAGCAAATTGCTAACAAAGAGAAATCAAAAGCTCAAGCCATGTTTTTTAAACTACTAGAAGAAAGGCAAGAAAATAGAGATAATTTTAGTTCGAAAAATTACAATGTTGGTTTTGAAACTTTAAATTCTCACGATGAAATTTCATCTGATGATTCAGATTATGATTCGAAATCAACAGAAAACTTAAAAAACCAGATGTCAAGTAATGACGACAATAGTTCTTAATTACAGGAATGAATTTTATGAATAATCATCACTGGTTAATGGCACATAAATGTTTTCAAAATCAATAATTTTTTTTTTTTTGAAACTTAAATATGTGCCAATAAAATGTTAAAAAGGGGTTTGAAAAATCATGACTTGTAGTAGTTCATAAAAATGGGTTTCTTAATTTTATCCAACATACTCTATTAAACATGTACAATATCATGTTTTACAATATTAAAATAAAATTGCATATTTTATAAGATTTAAGTTTTTTTTTTTTTTTGAATCATACGTTAAAAAATTATTAAATAATACGAATCGGATACTTTAAAGGAGGTCATTAGTATTTATTTAAATACTTTTATTTTTAAAATTAGTTTCGGAAATTATTTGAAATATACTTCAAATAACTGATTTTTAAAATACAATTTATTATGCTTTCGGTAAGAAACAACGTTAGGTAAAAAAAATAACATTAATTGTTTGAGTAAAAATATATAACATCAGTTACTTACATTATTTCTAAATAAATTAAAATTAATGTGACGTAAAGCCATTAGTTAAAACTCTTTAAGTATTTAAAAAAAAAAAAGAATATTAATTTTAAAGTCCATAGTAGGTTAGAATTATAAATTTTTCGGGGCCCTAATTTTTCTCCCATTTAAACATAGGCAACATCCGTTTCCGATCCGTTATTGTCAACGGTTTTTTTAGTTTATAATGTTTTGTAAGCGTCTCAAAATTTGACATTCAATGTTCGTCCGTGTAAATTTAAAAACAAATCAATTTTAAAGTTTTTTTGAGTTTTGATATTTTAAATTGTTCCTTGGTTTTATAAAATAATGTCTGAATCTATTAAAGTTGCTCTTAGAATTAGACCTTTGGTTGAAAATGAAATTTCTCGTGGTTGCCAAACATGTTTAGACGTAGCATTAAATAGGAATCAAGTGATTGTTAGGAATGATAAAGGTTTCACTTATAATTATGTATTTGATCAAGATTGTAGTCAAGAGGAAGTATATAAAGTTGCTGTTCAAGGCCTTGTTAAGAAGTTATTTGATGGTTTTAATGTTACGATTCTTGCCTATGGTCAAACGGGATCAGGAAAAACTCATACAATGGGTACATGTTACAACGGAGAAGGAGAAATGGGTGTCATACCAAAGGCTGTACACGATATTTTTCAGCATGTTGAATCTCAATTAGATTGGGAATATCATATTACGGTTTCATTCATGGAGCTTTATAATGAGCAATTATATGACTTACTCTCAGGTGATAGGTCCATAGTTGAAATAAGAGAAGATTCAAAGGGTAAGTTACTGTTTACTATTATTGATGTAAATGTGAATTTTTTTAATATTTCCCATTTCTATGATGTTGATGAGTTTCCTTAAATTAAAAAAACAAAATGTAAATTAAAGTATATAATTTTAATGAAAACTAGAACAATTGTGAGTCCATTGATGTTAATTTACTTATGACATACTGGTGACAAATAACTATTGTTTATTTGAACTAACAATCGTCTAGCTGTGCTATTTAGTTGTTATGACTTTGTTATAAAGATTTTTTCTAGCGTATTTAATGCTTTTATTGGCAAGGATAATTTTAGATAAAGGATTTTAAAAAATAACCATTAAATAACTTTAATTTAATTTTAATTTTAAATTTAATCATAAAAAAAATTTACTAATTGTCAATTATTGTTAATTTTGAAATTGTTTATTGTACAGGTATATGCATACCAGGACTTACAGAAACTCATGTGAAGTCAGTATTGCAGACAATGACTTGCTTACAGCAAGGCTCATCTGGTCGAGTTACTGGCTCAACTGCCATGAACAATCAGTCTTCAAGAAGTCATGCTATTTTTACTTTAACTATTCATCAACAGAAATTAGATGACAGTAATTCTGCTATGAGAGCTAAATTTCATTTAGTCGATCTTGCTGGATCTGAAAGGTATAAATTAAAAACAAACTTAAAGTGATTTTTTTTTTTTCGCCAAAAAATTTCTTGATTACTGTTCTTTTGTTTATCATATTAAATTTTATTCAACAAACTTTATTATCATTTTCATTTTCGATTTCAGATCTAAGAAAACCCAAGCTGTTGGAGATCGTTTTAAAGAAGGTGTAAATATTAATTATGGTCTTCTGGCACTTGGTAATGTTATATCTGCTTTGGGGGAAGGCTCGAAGCAAATTCCAAGTTATCGAAATAGTAAACTGACTAGACTTTTGCAAGATTCTCTCGGTGGAAATTCACTTACTTTAATGATAGCTTGTGTGAGTCCAGCAGACTATAATTTAGATGAAACATTAAGCACATTAAGATATGCAGATCGAGCTAGGCGTATAAAGAATAAACCTATAGTGAATCAAGATCCTAAATCTGCTGAAATTGGTGAATTGAAACAAAGAATTAATCAATTACAGTTGGAATTATTAAACCAGCGTGGTACTAGGACTTGTAATCCTATCCATGAAGAACTTGAAGAAGAGGTTAAAAAACTGAACGTGAAACTCCGAACAATGACGCAAAGATACAATGATGCATTAAATGAAAACACAGTTATGTGTGAAAGAGTATTGCTGGCAGAAGCTGCAAGAGATAGAATGAAGAAAAAAGTTCAAGATATGGAAGTTGAAGTTACTGCTCAAATAGGAGAATTTGACAAAGTTGTTGAAGACTTTTCTTGTCCTGATAACGTAAAAGAGCAATTAAATATATTCAAAAAAAGTTTAGTTACAAAAATTACAATGCTACAAGAAGAGCAAAAAAGAAGCGAAACTGAAATGAGAGCTCACGAATCTAGCGGAGCAAATGAACAAGGACTATGTTCGTCAATTGATGACATATCTACTATTGGAGACATTGCTCAAGGCGAATTGGATGAGCTTGATCAACAACAGGAAGAATTGGCAGCTAAGCAAACTCAATTAAACAAAGAATTACGTGAATTGACTCGTCAGTTAGCCCTTAAAGAAGAAGTTTGTGAAAAATATTCTAAAAATACTTTATTGGTCGATGAAAATTTCAAACAAAGTTTAAAACTTTACGAACAGTACGAAAAGCAGATTGCTGATTTATTAAAAGAAAGAACGGAATTAATAAATAATATAAATAAGCTAAAATCTGCTAATAAAGAAACTGACCTCAAGGCTAAACAAGCAGAGTTATCAAAAAAGAATTTAGAAATTGAAAATTTACAAAAAAAATTAGCCGAACAAGCAAAAATAGTTAAACAAAAAGAAGCAGCTGAGAAAAAGGTTGAATTACTTAACTCAGAAATCGTTCAGATGAAACATGCTAAAGTCAAACTTATTCGACTAATGAAAACGGAAGGTGAAAAATTTAGAACTTGGAAAATAGAAAGAGAAAGGGAGGCGAGCAAATTACGTGATCAAGATAGAAAAAGGCAAAATGAAATGGCTCGAATGCAGAATTTACATTTCAAACAGCAAAACGTTTTCAAAAGAAAATTAGAAGAAGCTGCGGCATGTAATAAACGATTAAAAGAAGCTCTTATGAAGCAAAAAACTGTTCAAGAAAAGAGGCAGTTGTTAAGAGGAAATAAAGAACAGGTACATATTTTAAATTACACTTTTATTATGCTTGATAGTAGTATAGGTAAACAAAAAAGTAGTGTATTTGCAGGTGCAAGAATTCGTTACGCATGAACTGGAAGTTCTTGTGAGCACGGTTGAAGCCGAAAGAACCTTACAGCAACTGCTGGAGGATCGAGCTACATTAAACACTCAGCTAAACGAGTTGAAGAGGATGTCAGAAGAACGTATTAGTCCAGAGTGTAAGACAGAAATAGAAAAGGAAATGCTTCAGGTCAAGCAGGATTTGGAATTAAGGAACGCTCAAATAGCAGATTTACAACAGAAAATTTTAGATTCCGATCAGGAAAATAAATCCAACACTCGGTGGGATGCCATTCAGTCTATGGCCGACGCCAAGGCTGCTTTGAAACACGTTTTCAATTTGGCTGCCGACATTCGTCGAGATGCTATCTCTAAAGATTTTGTACTAAAAGAAATAGAAATGAATTATAAAAACACAAATAAAAAAATTAGAGAATTAGAAAAAGAATTGAAGAAAATGAAGGAAAAACATCAAGAAGAAATTCTCATTTTAGAAAAAGAACATCAAGAACAATTACATTGTTTGCTACACAACGAGAACAAGGAAAACATACCGGAAGATAGTTATTTGGATCGAACGTTGACGGCTCAACAGTTAAAATTACTCCAAAACACGGAAGAAGAATTGAAAAAGAAACAAGAGGAATGCAACATACTGCAAAATCAAATATCAACAATATTAACGGTGGCGCAAACTTCCAAACTCAAAATGGCCAAAAAGCGAACAAACAGACACCGAGAATTCGAAGATTTGAACATGTCAGCGGATGGAAGTTTTGCCGAAGAGTACGAAATAGACAACGTGGACGTGGATCCGGACTGGAGAAAGACTCCCATCCACAAACGCATAACGGCGATGAAATCGAAAACGAGTTTGAATCAGTGGCCGGATTCAAGGAAAAGAGGTTTGGACGGTTCGTTTCGATGCGGATGTCACAGCAGTTGCAACACGAAAAGATGCGTTTGCTTCAAAATGGATGCCAAATGTGGGGATTCGTGCACCTGCGATTCAAATAAATGCAGTTCTAAATTATCCGATCAAATTTCCAGTAGTCTCAATGAAACTTATGTTAAATCGGATGAAGTGAGCGAAGAAACAAAGAAACCGAGATACACATTTGCGAGGCCGATTGTTTGAAAAAATGGACGATTGCAATTTAGATTTTATTTAGATGATAATTTTTTTTTTTTTTTTTTTTTTTTTTTTTTTCTTATGAATAATCGGTAGTAATGACTTGGCGGCCTAACTTAACGTTAATTATTATTTTCAATAACCGATTTATAGTGATGACGTTGCTTATCGGCCGAATTATATATAAATATAAATACATTCGGCCGATCGTGGCGGTTCTTGTATTCTTTCACAGTATTTTTATTTTTCACTTTTTTTTT